AATCTGCATTTAAATTGCTTAATGGGGGGGTGGGGTGGTAATAAAGTGCTTAAAACAATAAGAGCAAGCTCGAGCTCAGTCCAATATTTTTGTGCCGAATATTCCTATGGATTGGAAACATTAATGATGGCCTCCAAGGGTGCAGAGACAGCTGCCTCCAAAGGATGCCTTTGGCAAATTTCCTAATGAAATTGTGAATAACTGACTAACCTTGAGAGTTCAAAAAAGGGCAAAAGGAAAAACACAGATACAAGGTGGTCTGCATTACCTGGCTCTCTTGTTGGTACATTTTGTCAGAAAAAGCAAAATAATTTGTTTCTTTCCAAACTCCCATTTTAAGTCTGCAGGAGGATAGGGAGGCATTATTTTTCTCATAGATCTATTTCTGCCTTCTTTCTCTATTTCTCTGTTCTGAACATAATATCCACTCCTACAATTCCAGTCATACTCTTCATTTTATATTTTTATATGGACCCTTTGTCATTATGCCTGTACTTTTCCAGATCTGTGAGTATAATTCCCTCTGGCATACTTTATACATTGTTCTTCAGCCATCACAGGTGTACACTCAAACCTCCAGCCATTTAATAAGTATAACAGAAATAGCTTGATTATTTACAGATATAACAAGTATCTAATGTGACGCTGCAGGTTAGTGTGCTGGACTGCAAATTCAGTTTAAACTGCAAGGTTGGTGGTTCAAACTCACTAGCCACTCCTCGGACACCCTATATAGGGTCACTATGGATCGGAATCAACTCTATGACACTTAACACCAACAACAATAAATGTGGTGCTGAGGATAAATAACTGGGCCAAGATTGGTTTGAACCATAAGGCTGGCGGTTCAAACCCAACAGCCACTCCTCAGAAACCCTCTACAAGGTCGCTAATAAGTAGGAATTGACTCACCAGCAAGGCAATATGGTGGCTCTATATGATAAGCACTTGACTGCAAACCACAAGATTGGCAGTTCAAGCCCACCAGTCACTCATCAGGAAAAGATGAGGCATTCTGCTCCCACAAAGAATTCCAACCTCAGAAACTCTATATAAGGTCTCTATGAGTTATAACCAACAAAATGGCACTTAAAAACATCATTCTATATAGCAAGGGCGTCTGCTGGTGCTGTGGGGTAACCATTGGCCTGCTAACTGTAAGGTCGGTGGCTCAAACCAACCAGCTCTTCCATGATAGAAAGATGGGGTGTATCTGCTCCATTAAAGATTTACAGTCTCGGGAACTTTCAGCCAAGACTGTGGACTAGACAGGTGCACTACACAGACGCTTTAAAACAAAGATTGTTGTTGTTGTTAAGTGCCATCGAGTCAGTTCCAACTCACAGCGACCCTGTATAGGATTTCCAAGGAGTAACTGGTGAGCTTGAACCCACGACATTGCAGTTCATACCGACTTTGCAGTATACAGCATGACCCTATATAGGATTTCTGAGGTGTGGCTGGTGAGCTTGAACCACCAATCTTGCTATTCAAACTGACTTTGCAGTCCATCGCATTAACCCACAGCACCACACGAGAACTCCAAAGATAAAAAGAGGCAAAATGAACAGACACAAATTAAAATCCTGGAACCCAAAACTTCAGAGGAAAGCCTACAGTAGTAGGCTTGCTGGGAAGAAAAAACAGCAGTGACAGCGAGAGAGGGATACTGACTGATGTGAGAAGCTTTGGCAACAGAAGACAGCCCGGCAGAGCAGATTCACACAGGCAGAGAAAGGTGTGGGTCCATCTTTTTCCCTACGCTCCCAAGGTGACCAGTGTGGACAGTTCCTACCCTCATCCATATCCAGCACAAACTCTGCTCTCTGGGAGATCTAAGACATGTGCTTGGGAGCCACACCAATGTGAGGAGGGGGCCCAGCTGCAAAACTCTGGTGCCTAGATTCAAGTGGGCTCAGCTCTAGACATACATAACCCGCAGAACCAACAGACCAGCATTTAACCAAGTCACCCTGCCCTCATCTTCCCTGTGGTTCTAACAGACAGTGAAACCAGCTCCATCAAGCGCCTCCACAAAGTATTTCTAGATTGAGTACCCTGAACATAGTAACACCAAGGCCAATAGGAACTCCAGAGCCAGGAATTATAATGTTACATCACTTCCATGCCTACCTAGTGACCTACCTGTCTTATAAGAGCCCCCTCACAAGAGTTGTCTCCTCTCTGGGCCCAATGTTGCACTGGGTTGTTTTTTTTTTTGTTTGGGGGCTTGGTTTTTTTTCCTTTTGTTTTTGTTTATTCTTTCTCCTCTTTCTTCTTTCTCTATTCCCTCGAATTTTAACTTTTACGCTATGCTGTTTTTTTTCCTTCTCTTTCTCATTTCCCCGCTTCATCCCCCCTTTTGATCTTTCTTTACTACACTCTACTCTCTTTCTCTGTTCATCTTCCTTCTCCTATTTGTCTAAGTGCTTTTGTTTTGTTTTAAATTTCCTTTTATTTCCTCTTTTCACTTCTATAGCTCTACTTCCCTGTCTTTTGTCTTTGTAGTTGTTATATTATTTTTGTCTGGTTGCTGCCTGTTTGTTTTTTTAAAAGCTTTTATTGTGTATTGAGTGAGTGACGGACGGTTTACAGAGCAGAGTAGATCATAAGTTTTACGTTCAGCAAATCAATGTAATGATTACAATTCACTCCACGCACTCTTTTGATGCCGGTTTTTATTTTATTCTTCTATTATTTTTTCTATTCGCTAATGGTTCCTTATTTGTTTATTCTGTTTTGTTGTCTTGTGTGTGTATGACATGCGGTTTTCTCATATCCACCTGACAAAAGATACAGTCATACCCTTTGCAACTCCACCCACTGGGCAATAGTCAATACCAGTTCCTATACCACCTGATCAATGATAGGCAGCAACCAAACCCACCCAAAACTGGTGTGCACAAACAGCAAACAAGAATTGAGCACAAGCTTCTATTCTCTAACTATACCCACAAGTGACACGGATGAGAGCTAAATTACACATCAACTTACAATCATCAATTAAACACAACTACACAATATCCTTGAGAAAACAGGAAACTTTAGCTCACACTACTAAACAATGAACAAAATACAAAGCCAGAAAACATTTCTGAGGAAAAACAGGTAATGGAACTAAATGAAAAAATAATTTTAAAAAATACTATTCAAAAGACTGACACAAAGATCAAGGAAAGCAAGAACACAGAAAAAACTTTGGAAGAAATCAGGAAAACACTACAAGAACAAACAAACAAAAAAAATGCACATTTTGAAACAATACAAACCTGCAATTAGAAATTCAGAAGATTAAAACTTAAGGTTTCAAATATAGACAATACATTGAAAGAGACAAAGGAGTAGATTCAAGGCAATGGAAGCCCAAATTAATGACCCTGAAGATAAATCCCTCAAGTATGCTAGAACAATCAGAAAAAATAATGAAAAATACAAAGAAAGCCTAACAATTACATGAGACAATATAAAGAGGAACAACTTAGGGTTGGTTGGAATTCCAAAACAGGAAGATACAATTAAAAGCAATGAGAAAACTGTCTAAGAGTTGTTGTAAGAAAATGTGTCTAGCTAGAAGGTAAACATACAAGAAGCTGAACAAACCCCAAACAGTATAGTTCCCAAAAGACAATAACTAAGACATATCATAATCAAACTTTCCAAAATCGAAGGCAAGGAAAAAATACTGAAAGCAGCTCAGGAAAAACAAAAAGTTACCTACAGAGGTAAATCAATAAGACTAAGCTCTGATTTCTCAGCAGAAACCATGCGATCAAGAAAGCAAAAAAACTGCTAACCAAGAATCATATACACAGCAAAGCTGTCCCTCAAATATGATGGTGAAAATAGGACATTTCCTGATAAAATGAATTATAGGCATTTGTAATTATCAGACCAACTTTACAAAAAATGCTAAAGAATGTCATCTGGACTGAGAATCAACAACAGCAGACAACCTGAGATTACTATACATGACAACACCCAGGAATCAATCCAAATAGATCAGTAAAACAAACTAACAAGACAAAATCAGACCAGAGATATATCAATGTACAATGAAGTCAACTATAAAGCAAAAAAAAAAAGGAAATAGTGTCAATACAAAACTTCCAAATGACAAGGAAATCAACTAGATTTCAAGATAAAACACACTGTATTCCACGGCACATAACCACCATCACCATTAAGTAAGGAAAAAATTAATTAACTACAGGATATTGTTGTTGCTGTTAAGTGCCATCAAGTTGTTTCCAACCCATAGTAACCCTGTATAGGGTTTCCGAGGAGCAGCTGGTGAGCTTGAACCGCCGACCTTGCAGTTCAAACAGCTTTGCAATATGGCGCATTAACCTACAATGCCACACCAGGACTCCTACAGGATAAGTTTCAAGAAATACAATACAATTGCACATCAAAATAAAAAAAGACAAAAATCAGCTAGATTAACACAACAGAAATCAAAAGAAAACCCACCAACAAAATTAACTCAGCATAGAAAATTATGTGAAACAAAGAATCCAGCAGCATCTCAAAAACACAATATGAA